GGGGGTCCAGTAGGTGGTGGGGCCGGCTTGACCGCCTCTGCCTGGTACGCTAGTTATGCCGCCTGACCCCTCTTGGTTTCTTTTGGTTTTGTGCTTTCACACTCATTATTTTAAAAAATCAACCATTAAAAAAATAAGATTAAAAGGCAACCTTTCAGTAGGTGGTGAAAATTTGAGCAAAGCTACGGAAATGAACTAAGTGCAGCAGCTCTGGGTAATACAAATCCAGAATAAAGAATCCAGCCATAGAGCCTTTTGCGCAAAAGCAGAGAACACAAATCAAGACTAAGAAGTATAGCTGGCAGGAGCCCTGGGACACAGTAATTCCAGTGGGAGAAATAGACAATCCAGGGGCTGGAGAGCAGGGCAGGGGCCCACAGTAGAGCTGGTCGTCGATGCACAGACACAAAATTAGAGGGGACAACTGTGGCACTCACCGTTAGATGGGGCACCCAAAACTACCTTCAATTTCAATCATTCACTAGAATGAAAACGAGTATTTCCACTTGATTGCAAGGAACCTTTATGGAGTGATACCAGTAAGGGAAAGGGGAAGTCAGGAAGTGCCACACATGAGGCTGGCCGAGCCATGTGCCTCCCCCGACTGCACTGACTCATCCCAGCCTGTCACCAGGCACTGCCTACCTCCAAGCTGGCCTGAGATACCGCAATCCATGCTACTGTTGGGGCTCCATCACATGGCTGAATAGGGGAAACACTTCACAGTGGATCAAAGTCTCCAGGTCACTGGGACCCACATTAATCAAACGCCTATCTGAATCACATTCTCATTATCTAGGGAGCCCAAGACCTCCAGACAGAAAAAGAGGTGCTGCCGAAAGGAGAGGTGTGAGGCCAGAATTATTTTGAACAAGGTTAAATCCTCTACTAACTCCTTAAAGAGGTGGCTTTTGAGCTACAAAGGCAGCCAGCAGGATCCTATTTGAGAACAGTCTGGATGGAAGCACAGATTTCCAGGCTTGGTTATGATGGGATTCTTGGTTTTAGTGGAAGCATGGGGCAGCTGAGAGGCCAGGTACTCACCATTAGATGGGGCCCCCAAAACTACCATCAATTTCAATCATCCACTAGACAAGACAGGGCTTGGCGAGGAACACTGCCTCTTCTTAATTTACGATGCTGACATATCTTGACATAATTTAAGTTAAATGAGTAATTTGATAGGTGTGAATTAAACTAAAAGTCTCTATTTTGACTAAAGTATAAGAATGACGGGTGTGCGCAAGGGACCAATTGTACAGAGCTTGTCTGATAAGGGAGTTCAGATAAAGGAAGTAAAACTGGAAGAGGGGAGAAAAAGCGTG